TTTAAATTATAAGTCCAACAGCTGATATTTGTTTACAATTTTTGTATTTATTTTGATATTTCAGTGTATTTCAGCATTATCCGCATCGCCGGATAAATTTAGCGAAGAGATTGTGTTAGCAGAATCGCACAATCGCTAATTCTCCTAAAATAAGCGACTCGCTTATTTAAGAATTTTAGCGAAGAGATTGGAGTTTTAGCGATAGCGATTAGTAGAATCGGCCTGCACGAAAATCATCCACAAAAACGCTTTTTTTTAGAAATGCTATACATCCTTCAAACTCCAAGTGACACCAGACTAAATTTCAAAAGTGACATACAACACTGTGCTCAGGTGTATAAAAACATCTTCGACAAATCCGGAAGCGGATAAATATATTTTTCTTATATATAAGTTAATTTTATGTTTCTTATAGTCAAAGTATTGTATATTTTCCAAATACATATATGTATGTTTCATGTTTCAATGTAAATGTAATTCATTATTTTTTTTTATGTAATGTATACATTAATATTAATTACAATGTATTTATATGTATAGTTCTCCGATGATGACTATAGATTATAGTCGAAATATTGGACAATAAAAATCTTATAAAACTAAATAATAAAATTTATTTAATAACTGACCAATTAGCCCATGAAATAATTATTTTTAAAAAAAATTTCTTTTGGTCATTAAAACATTTTATTATTATAAAATTAATATGAAATACATGGAATATTCTTATTTTATTATTTACTTAAATTTATTTTTATACGTCATTGCTTATATTTCAACGTACATGTTAATGTACATATTTTTTTATATATTTGTCTATTTTATAAGCAATAAATATAATTATAGCTATTAATAATAAAGTTAGGAGTGCTACCTGTGTATTTCCTGTAGTTGTTGTTTGAGTGTTGTTAATATTGTTTGTGACATCAGGGCCCTGTTGCATCAACAATTTTCACTTTGCACTTTGCAAAACTTATGAGTGACTTTTTTTTGCAAAGTAAAAGTGAAAAGCGTAGCACCAAAGACTTAAGATGATTTATCTTGCACTTTGCAAATAAAGATTTTATTGGAGAGTTTTGCATAAAATGCAAAGCAAAGCGTTGCACCAAAAAATTAGATCACTTTAATTTTGTATTGGTTTTTGTGCATGATTTATGTATAGTATATACGTATGAGTTTAATTTTTGTTTAAAATAAAAGTTTTTAAAATAATGTTTTATTTTAATAAATTTTATTATTATAATTTCTAATATTTGTATAATTTAGTACAATTCTTTGTTATACATTAATACAAAACACAAAATTTTTGTATATGATTTCTTTTATTGACATTTAATCGTAGACAAAGAAGTTGTGTATATCCATAGACACAATTTTTATGCTTTTAATTAATTTTGCTGCTTGAAAAGTTACAGAAAAAGAATTTATATTTAAGAAGTATGAGTATGAGTTGTTTTAACAACAATTATATTGAAAAACAAAATTAACAAATATACTAAGTTACTTTTATATAGGTCTAAATAAAATATTATAAAATATTTAAAAATATATATTATAAAATATTTATATTAAATGTATTATAAAGTTTTTTAGAAACTGAATTCTTTAATTCATAATTTAAAAGTATTGTCCGGTAATATATCCCTTAAATTATTGGAACTAAATTTATTTTAAAAACAGCAATAATATTTGCTTAAAAGAATTTTCTATTTCTATTTTTTTAAAACAATTTTCTTTTATTTTACACATTTTGTCTTTTATTAATATACATAAGAAACTTATTTCTTGTGTAAAGCAATAATTTGCAAAATTTGCAGGGTGAATTAATCATTTTCAATTTTGTTGTAAAGTTTTGCAGTTTACATTTGCAAAGCGCAAAGTAAAAAATATTGGTGCAACAGAAAATGCAAAAAAACCGGATTTTTGTCCAATATTTCACTTTTCTTTTCATACTTTACTTTTCATTGAAAAGTACATTGGTGCAACACTTTGCCTTTTTTGAGTGTTTTCAAAACTTTGCATAACTCAATTCTCAAATTAATGCTTTATGTTCTCAATGAGAGATAAATGCTCAGAAACTCATAATAGTTTGCAAAGTGCTAAGTGAAAAATGTTGGTGCAACAGGGTCCTGGTTTCAATCTGTCTACTGCGACGGTATACCTGCTATTTCTCCTGTTAATCACGAAATTTTTTTCCCCCAGTTGCAGTACTTGAAAAGGTCCTTCATATGGCTGTTGTAATGGAGCTTTCACTCAATCGACGCGCTCGAACACAAACTCACTGATTTGTAAGTCGCTGGGAACATAGACTGGATGATGTCCGTGTCTGCTGCTGTTGATTGTCTTCAGCTGAGCCAATGTTTAGTGGTCCTGGTAGACGTAAAAGATTTTCGTATAGCATTTCAGCAGAACTGACACCAAGATCTTCTTTTGGGGCAGTTCTCAACCCCTGCAGTATCAATTGAAGTGCACGCGTCCAGTCGTTAGTGCTGTGGCAACGCAAAGCTGCTTTTAACGCCCTATGCATACGTTCAACCATTCCATTCGCTTGGGGGAGATATGCTGTCGTGTAGATGTGTTTGATGCCCAGAGGTCTGGGTAGTTCGCGGAAGATTGTTGACTCGAACTGACGTGCTAAGTCAGTGGTGATAATGTGAGGCACACCATAATGCGCTACCTAACCTTCGATTGAGGCGCCGGCAATGGTTTCGGTAGTTATATCTGGTACAGGCACCACCACGGGCCATAGTGAGAGACGGTCGATGCACGTCAAACAGTATCGTTTACCCTGCGACAGTGGTAGTGGTCCGATGATGTCTACTTGTACATGCTGGATACGTTCGTCTACACCTGCGAAATTACCTATAGGTGATTTGGTGTGACGGTGGACTTTAGATAATTGGCATGAAATGCAGTTCTTCACAAACTTAGCTACGTCCTTTCCTAAACCTGGCCAGACGAAACCTGCTTGAATCAGTTTGCGTGTCGCTCTTACGCCTGGGTGTGCTAAATTGTGTAGTTTTATCATCACTAATTAACGGCAACTGGCTGGAACAAACGGTCGAACATTGCCCTTGGAAATGTCGTAAAATACTTCAGTATTGTACATGGGTAAAAAAAGAGTGTCGGCATGATGTTCAAGTAGCGTGCGCAGCTCGTCATCTGAAACTTGTGTCTTTGCTACCACCTTAGCTGCCTCAAATTCGATTTGTGCAATACGTGAAAACGTATCGGTCACGCAATTATCTGCACCAGCAATAAGGAGGATATCAGTAAAGAACTGGCTTATGAATTCTAGCTGCCTAACGCGCCGTGGCGATGTCTTCTCGCTGTTCTGTCTGAACGGAAACGTAAGTGGTTTACGGTCAGTCAGATTGACAACCTTCGAGTGCATACTTGAAATGCTGTCGAATAGAATGCTAAAGGTTGAGATTTGCCCTCTATAATCTGCTGCAGGACGTGAAATGAAGTATTAGGTTACTTTGCTTTTGGAAGGCTTGAAACCGTGTGCGCTGATGAAGTGACCCAGAAATTCGATCTCGCTGCGCCCAAATTCGCACTTGACAAAATTTACCATCAGACCAGCTTGGCGAAGACGCTCGAAAACCATTTGAAGATGTACTCGATATTCTGCAGCATCTTTAGAAGCAATCAGTATATCGACGATGTATGCGAAAACAAAGTTTAGCTCAGCCAAAATTGCGTTGATAAATCGTTGAAATGTTTGGGCTGCGTTTCGTAGGCCAAAAGTCATGAAACGGAACTTGCACAAACCGAAAGGAGTAGTAATCGCCGTCTTCGGTATGTCACATTCTGCCACTGGAATCTGGTGGTACGCCTTCTGAAAGTCAATCTTTGAATAAATGCTTTTGCCGTGGAGGATGGTTGTTACGTCGTGCAGAAAAGGAACCGCTCCGGCTTCGTTTGAGCATTCAACACACGGTAATCGCCGCATGGTCGCCGTCATTCTTCAGCACCATATGCAATCGGCTTGCCCAAGGACTCTTTGACGGCTGACAGATGCCCTTTTGTAATAAGTATTCGAGTTCCGTTTTCCCTTCCTCTAATTTAACCCCGGAAAGACGTCGTGGTCGAGCAAACGCTGAAGCGACAGTGGTCCCGATGAAGTGTTCGATCTGCGTGTTGAAAGTGAGATAGTTATCGCTCAATGTGGCTAGATCGCGATATTCGCTCATCAAGAAACTGTAGTCTTTTGCAATAGGGTTGGCTCGGATACTGCTCACTTGCCCATCTACTGCCGAGCATCTAGTTGCTACAAACGTTTTGTTGTCCACAAGCTGTTTCCGCTACATGTCAACCAGTAGGTCGTAGTACCTCAAAAAATTTGCGCCGACGATGGGATAATTTACATTTGCAACCACAAATGTCCATGGAAAATCGCGCCTTAATCCAAGGGATACCAACAAATGTTTTGTGCCGTATGTGCGTATTGGTGTGCCGTTTGCAGCAAATAAGCTGGGTGATGAAAAAGCAATTGGTTTACTCCGCTTAAGACCCTATTTTTTAGGCAGTACAGATAGATCCGCTCCGGTGTCGATAAGAAATGAAGTTGACGTTGCCGGATCTTATACTGTAAGTCGAGCTATTATAGCGCTTTCCTGAAATCGGCTTGACGTCGATTGAGGCAAGCTTAGTTTTTTGGCCTTGAATTAGTAGTATAAGTACAAGGCTGACGGCACTTGCGCGCCTACTCCCCGAAGCTGCTATGAAATCAGCAACAATCGGAGTGATTTGAGGACTACGAGCGCGTTCAGCTTCTTCTGCGTGATGATTGCTGAGTCCTCAACGACTGGCGTTGTCACATTAGACGTTGCTGCAGCTATTTGGTGGTAGTCTCCTGCATATTCTGTCAGCCAGTTTAGCTAACTTTACCAGGTCAACGCTGGATGCCTGTAAGATCGTACGTACTTGCGGTGATAAACGTTGGAGCCAGAGAGACTTCAGGAACTCGTTACTGACTTTGTCTTTCGATAAAGATGTCAGCTCATTGAGTATTGCGTTGGTCGACGATTTCCTAGTTCGATTTTTGAGAGTAGCCACTGTATCTTTCGTTGCTCGCTTTCGCCATACCGGTCTAAAATCCGATTCTTAAGGTTAATGTATTTACCTGTTGCCAGAGGGTATAAAACTGCATCAGCTACATCAGTAACGACGCTGGACTCGATCTGTGCGACGACGGTGTTGAATTTCGTAACATCGCTAGATATGCCTGCAACTGCAAACTGTGCTTCGATTTGCGTAAACCATATTTCTGGCCGTTCATGCCAAAATGGCGGCACTTTGACTGAAACGCGGTTCAAAATGCCTTCTAGAAACTCGCTTTCTCGCTGCCCCGCTGTGGTTTCGTTGACAGCTGGCAAAGACATGTTGTTTAGGTACGGTGGAGGAACTCGTAGTCTTATCTCTTTACTACAGCTCTAATAAAAGCCTTTTTTTTGGATGAGACCAGTCGTTAAGACGATTTTTAAAAATGTGTTCAAATGATTCTTAAATTAGAATCATGTCGGGGTCACCACTTTAGTGTAAATGTTCTTTATTATTTATTTTACTATTAAAGAGAATTCCTGAGATCCGTCTTAAGTTTACAGCAACTTGCAAACTTTAGTTTGCAGTTTTCATATTTATTGTAATTTTTAACACGCTTTTTTAAACTATTTATATACACTAAATCTTTTGTGTTGTGTTCACACCTTTTCGTACAAGCATCCAAAAATGTCTCTTTTTTAATGCTGCCACCATGTCTTTATGTTTTTTCGTCTTTATGTAATGCTGTCACAGACTCATAAGGCTCCAACAACACACAGTTCTTCTCAACAGCAGCAATGAATAGCGGTGTTTGTTATCGCTACTGTTTTTTTTTGTTTTTACTTTCCTTTTTTATACAACTGCCAAGATTTAGCATTTAGTATACATTTTTACATATGTTAATGGAACATCAAGTAATAATTCAAAAAAAAGATTAAGAATTACATGAGTGAACTATTAATAATGGATAAAAAGAAAAAGAAAACTTTTCTTTAAATGAAATAAATTAAATATTATAAAATAATTAAAATTAATGGATAGATGATATAATAAATGAGTCAATTAAATAGACTGCCATAAATTTCCTATAAATATATTTGTTAGATTATTATAGCATTGCTAGTTCTGATGGAAATAAACGTTTCAATCTTCTGTTATGTTTGGCTTCGACATTAGGTAGCTGCCTCATTGTTGGGTTAGGATGGAGAAGTAATCTGTCTGTGTGCTTTTTACTATTTTTTCGGTTAACGTCTGCAACGAAAGGTATCTTTAAATCGCGATGAATGTCATAGTTTGAGATGTACCATTCAGCGTTGATGATAGTGCTAAGTATATTTGATTGTAGTCATTGCAGTATTTGAATGTTGTATTTGCATGCTGTGTCCCATATTTCGGCTCCATATTTCCATATTGGAGCGATTACTGTTTCATATACTAGTAGTATATTTTCCACTGTTAGTTTTGATTTTGAGCAGAGTAGCCAGTACAATTGTCCAAAGCGACGCTTAATTTCATTGCTTTTAGCTTTAATATGGTCTTTCCAAGTTAATCTGCTATCTGTAGTAATGCCAAGGTAATTTGCCTTTGTGTGTGTGAAGACTTCGTCATTGTTAATTTTTATTACGTTTTAAGCGCTTTGCAGACTATCATACTGGTATGTCATACGAGAGAGAAAAACGTCGTATGACACACTGGTATGATAGTCTGCACCTCTTACCAACATGTTGGAGTGCTCACCAAAATTTTGGTGAGCAGCTCTCGCATACGTGTTGTGTATGATAGTCTGTCACCCCTAACGATTCATACGTCATACAAGAGCATTTTTGCCTTGCAAATTTATTGTAAGCAGGCGATATATGTAAAATTTTAATATAAATTTAATATGTTTTTTTATTATTTCATTATTAATGTATATATTATTATTATTATTTATTATTATTAAAATTACACTTATAAATTTGTGTTAAATATTTAATTGTATCTTAGTTAAAAAAAAATATAAATTTTTACATAAAATTCTTATAAAAAATTAAAATACAATTAAATATTTTATGTAATATATTAAATATTTTATTTAGTTTATTAAATATTTTATTTTATTTTATTTTAATTTATTATTTTATTTTATTTTATTTTATTTTATTTTATTTTATTTTATTTTATTTTATTTTATTTTATTTTACTTTATTTTATTTTATTTTATTTTATTTTATTTTTTTTTATTTTAATTTATAAACGATGATTATATGTAAGTAAATTGTTTTTTAAAAAAGCATCTAAATATAAACATCGTTAAATTTATGATCTAAGCCCAGTAATAAAAAAACATATGGAAAATTGGTCGTAATAACAATTAATTAATATCCCAAATTTAAGATATAATACTTTGTATTCTAAATATGCTTTTCTTTGTTAAAACTTGTTATTAAAATAAAAGAATTTTAAATGTTAATAATCTTTAACTAACAAAAATATGGAAATGATCAAATTTCTTGAAAAACAATGAAGATATATACATTCTTATGTATATACATATATACATTATTTGTATGATCTATTTATGAAAAATTTCTTAAGAAACTTTACAGGTAGTGAAGGAAATTAACTACGGTCCTTTACTGATCTTTTCATATTAACTACTGTGCTTAATGACCCATAAACCTAAAAAAAATATGAATATGGATGCAGATAAAGCATTTTTAGATGCTTTCATCGAATGTTAACAAAAGTCATCGTTGTTTGGGGGATGTCCAAAGCTGTGAATAAAAAGATCGCAAAAAAAAAGCACGGTATATATAAAATATACAAAATTATAATCAATTATACGCAAAGCGCAACCTATACGTTAACTATCCATTTTTTCAACTTTAAAATTTTATTTTAAGCACACAAATTTTCACAGCACTACCCGAAAAGCACTCTTCAAAAGTTTTGAGTAAATGACGACTCTTGTGTGTCATACCTGTTCAAATTCGATCGCTAGAAGAAATTTGAGCAAGAGCGAGCGCAACTCGTATGACACACCAGTATGATAGTCTGCACCGCAATTTAGGTCATATTTTTTATTCGTGTAGATAACATGAACTGTTTTGCTTGTATTTATTTGAACTCCTTATTTGTTGAACCATTCGAGCGTTGCGTTTAGGTAATTTACAAGTTGTCTGTGGATATGTTAAAATTTTTATTAGCTGCAATTAGGGCTGTATCGTCTGCAAAAGTTGCTATCAAACATTGAGGATCAGAAGGTATCGGGACATCAGCCGTGTATAGCAAGTAGAGTAATGGACCTAGTACGCTTCCTTGGGCCACACCAGCTTTCATTTGTTTAAGTTCGGAAATTGACTCTTTATACTTCACATAAAAGTATCTATTTTGTAGATAGCTCTTAAGTAGGAGGTAAAAGTTTGTTGGAAGAAGCTCTGATAGTTTAGTTAGTAGACCTCCATGCCAAACGCTGTCGAAAGCCTTTGCGACATCTAGATATACTGCCGAAGAAAATTGTTTTGTGTCAATATCACTTGTTATTTTATTAACAACTCTGTGAACTTGTTGTATAGTTGAATACTTTTTCCGAAAGCCGAATTGATGGTCAGGTATAAGTTTTTCTTTATGGAGAATTGGTTCTAGTATTGATAAAATTATTTTTTCAAATAATTTTGACATAACTGGTAATAGGCTAATTGGTTTTGTTACAGATATCTCCTTATATGGTTTAGGTATAGCAATTACTTCTGCTACTTTTCAAACTTTTGGAAAATACTTAAGGCGAAAAGCGCAATTAAAAAGATTTCTCATATATGCAAGTGCTTGAAGAGGCAGCTCAGTCAGAATCTTTCCTGTGATACTATCATATCCCGGTGATTTTTTTGGTTTAATTTTATTTTTAATAGTATTCTTAATCTCTGTTATTGAAACTTTATTTATTGCGACATTTTGAGTAGAGCTGCTCCGTGTAACGTTGCTATCATACTGTTTTGGATTACTAAACGTAGTTTCGAAGTACGTGGCAAAAAGTTCAGCTTTTTCGGTATTAGTTCTAGCCCAAGTTCCATTTGCTTTCCTCAGTGGTAGTTGATGCATTACTGAGTTGTTGATATTTTTAGTAACTTTCCATAAAGTATAGTTAATGGCTTTGTCAGCTGTCAAGTTCATTATGCGTTTTGCAGGTTTTCATTTTTCTCATTAAGTTGCATAATTTTAAGTTCTTTGGTTAGATTATTTAAGTCCTTTTTTAGTTCAGGGGACCGATTTATTTGCCATTGTTTTCTCAGTTTTCTTCTGTCCATTATCTTGCTTTTAACTCCCATCGAGATTTTATTTTGAGTGTCGTTTTGTTTAAGAACTGGGGTAGAATTTGTCACGGCAACAGCTATCATTTCATTTAAGTATACAATCGCGCTTTCGATTTCGTCTTCAGATTTTAAGAAAATATTTGTTGTCAGGTTGGTATTAAGAATATCTCTAAACGTGTCCCAACATGTTTTGTTATTATAGATTAATTTTGTCCTTGTGACGTTTAGTTTTGTGTCGCTTTCATATGATAGCATAATTGGTGAGTGATCAGATGATAAGTCAGGAAGTGTACTTACTGTAAGAAATCGTTTATTTATATTTTTGTTCACGAAGAAGTCAATCACGTCTGGTATTTTGTTCACATCGGTAGACCAGTGCGTATGTTCACCTGTGCTTAGAATGTCTGCTCTTTTGTCAATGATAACATTATGTAAATTTTTCCCTTTGCAGTTTGTAATTCTAGAGCCCCACAAAGTATTTTTTGCATTAAAGTTTCCATCAACAATGTACATATTGCCGAGAGTGTTAAGGTAGTTCAGGTATACATCCTTCGAGTTATTGTGTTTCGGAGGGCAGTAAAGAGCTAATACTGTTAACTCGCCTTTTGTATCTTGAATATGGACACTTGTAACTTGTATTTGTTCTGTTTGGTATATACTGGTCAAGGGCATTGTATATTTTGCTTAATAATTACTGCTGTTCCACCATGGACCTTGTTGTCGGGATGATTTGTATGATATATCGAAAAGTTAGGGATTTTGATAAAACTTTTGTCTGTGAAGTGTGAAATAATGTTATGTATATATATACATTGTGACCGAAAAGTTTCCGGAAATTTTAAATAAAACGCAAAATTCTTAATCTTCATCAATATTTATTTTATCTCCTTCAAAATATGCTCCATTAGAAGCGATACACAAATGCCAACGTTTCTTCCAATCATCAAAACATTTTTTATAGGCGCTTTCCGGTATGGCTTTGAGTTCCCTCTGCGAATTCTGTTTTACGTCTTCTATGGATTCAAAACGCGTTCCTCTGAGTGGTAATT